GCAAGATATTAAAGTCCAAATTGAGTGGAGGAAACATCATAAAAGCCATAAATACCTGGGCTACACCTATGATTTGATACTCAGAAACAGAAGGTTTTATTTTGGCAGCAGGAGGTCTTAGAGACAGCAGGAGGCAGTGAGGGTGGTCACCTCATGGCTGCTGCTGTGTTGCAATATTTTCAGGGAGGGCTTATTTTGGGAGGAGGGCTTATTTTAGTGCATTCACTCAAAAGCCCGATTGGGTTTATTATCCGGGGAGGTCTTATTTTCGGGGAAACAGGGTATGTGTATTTGCTTACTTTTAGTATTTTTTGTATTTTCTACATTCTTTATACATTTAAAATTTATTAATTATTAATTGGATTCTGCTATCTCATGAATGATATTTCATCAAAATAAATGGGAATGATTATACTTGTGTAATTTTTAAAATATGAAAATCAAACCATGTGTAATAATCTGTGTCTTTATCCTAATTTCTTTTGGCAGAAATTCTAAATGGAGGAGTAAAGTTCAGGAGTAACCCTTATCTCTGCAACATGGAAAATGTTCTGTGGGATGACATTTTTGATAAAAATAATTTTCAGAGTTTTGTACAGTTTGACACCAGTGAAAAAACAAGGGGGTCAATAGACTCTCACATATCCTGTAAGTAGAGGAGACATATAATTCTAAAGAAACAATGCAGGATTTATTTCATGTAACTTTATAATAATAATAAGTGTTTTCCCAATAGAAAATAAATAAACTCTTTTTAAAGAGTTATTTATTTAGTGATTTATTTGCCTTTTGAAACTATATTTAGTATATACTGTGCAATATTTTTATTGCATATAAAATATATTACTGTGGATGGGTGTGTTTGTGTGTGTGTATATCATGCATGTGTGTATTTTTGTGCACATTATACTACCTCTGGCAAACTTTGGCAGCATTTGAGCATGGATTCAAATTAATTAATGAATAAGTTAATGAATAAGTATTAATTATTATAATTACTATATTAAACACAGAATGAGACAAATTGCTGTGGCCAGCTCACTGTAGTCGTCTTGCTGTAGCCGGCTCAGCCTGACCAACTCGACATAGTCAACTGCCACGTGACAACTCACTGGGAGGACAATTCAATGCAGGATAATTCAATGTGAAATATTTATACTGTTATCTGTAACTGTTTCTTCAACATTATTTTAATTTTTGTCATTTACATTTCATTTTGTGTCTCCATTAGCATTTTTTAAATGATAATGAAGAAATGGTGGAGTAGAATCATTACAGAAAGCACGCTAAAGGAATGACAAAATGAACTGTGAATGACAAGAATTAAAATAATGTCAAAGAAACAGTGGCAGATAACAGTACAGCTATCTCATGTTGAGTTATCCTATGTCTAATTGTCCCACAGTGAGTTGTCCCATGGGAGTTGTCAGGGCCAAATCAGCCACAGCCAGACAAGATGGCCATGGCGAGACAGCCACAGCAAATAATCCTGAACTCTATTAAACATGATTATGATTTATTCATGCATTGTTTCTGTTTCACTGATCTTTTATTTTTCAAATCAAAACTGTATGTTTTGACAAATCATCAAATTCAATTTTTTTCTTTATTTTGTTGGGATAGAGATGCAAGTCAAAAATTGACATGAAATTCAGATCTTGACCTAAAATGCTAGTTATTTTAAAACATACTGTATAAAGTCTATTAATTATTTATTTTCTTCTCTACACTAAATGATTTCAAAACAATATTTTTCCTATGTATCATCATTTTTTTAAAAAAACAACCACTATGCAAATTCTGTGTTAAATATTGACATCATCACAATTCCTCTTTGTGCTGTTAAAAATTCTACTGCTGCTACTGGAATTTTTCACCTCACATTGTTTGGGTTATGCTCCTCCTCTTAAATCACCTTTTGTGCTCTAAAGAAAGGGCAAAGTGTAGAAGACCAGGAGTTACCATGATTCTCACAATAGACTTTTATACTATGATTTGAATGTGGTATTTGTACCACAGTACGGACTAAAACATCCTAGGTGCTGATGCTAGCACTCTATGAACAGCAACCTTGACTTTGGTTTATTCCACAGCTGAATATTGTGCCAACTTGTGTAACTTAATATAGCCCATTTCCACATGGTTGATGTCCAACTCCATCAGACAATGTGTATCATTTCTGGCATATTGGATCTCATTCGGGAACTCCTGGACAGAGGAATGGTCCAAGGTACCTTCTTGTTGCCTGACCATCAGTGATATTTGGTGCTCTCTGAGGTTGGTTGTTTTATTTCATTACTGAAACCAGGTAACATCATCAGTGCTAGTTTAAAAATTCAGTAATGAAATGTCTGCAAGAAAGCTCAGAGAGCATCGAGCACCCCTAATTTCAACCCTGAGCTACAAATATTCTCCTTTATTGACATTAATGATTCTTCTACCAAACAACCTTGTTTTAATCTGCTTCGCTCTGTTTGGATGAAATTGAACAGGATTAGGTATGATGCTGGAAGACGTTCCCCTGCTCTGTATCAATAGGATGGAAAGATTCTCTTGTTGGATTGTGCTGTCGATATGCAAACTATTAAGCATATTGTGCAAGATTGTCCATGAGATATGTTCTCTGGTTCACTAGAAGATCTGCATGAAGCAGTGACAGATGATTACCTGGATTGCTGAATTGAATAACTCAATCCAGTTATGAGTCCACTACACTATCCTCATAGAAGTTTTATATATAATTATGTAGACTATGCATATATGTTTTACTTCTCTTCTGTCATCTTCTCCTTATACACTAAATAATAAAAAATAAAATCACAGTTCTCATTTTTGCTCATTAGCAACTTTGCATATAGAAATAGTAAATCAGAAAGTTAAAGTTATTTTTATACTTAATAATATAGAATAATTCATGAAATATAATTGCTAACTATCCCAAATTGTATTATGGTTACCACGCCCAGAATTCCCAGTAGCATAACACTAAAATGATTTGATTTCTTTATAAAGAAATGTAATTATATCTTAAATTTGGAAGGAAAAATCCTCCCAAAATGTATTTGTTTCATTGACATAAAGTTTCATTTATTTTGCTGATACTCATTCCTACCCTTAGGAATCAGTAGTCAGCTTTATTTCAGAGCATATAAATAATTTTTAATAAGTAGTATTGATAAGTAAATAATTTTATTTAAAGGGCACAGTTTTCAACTATTAGTAAACCTGACATCACTGATTATTTGGATGCAAGTAATAATACACATGAAAGCTAAGCATGGAAAAATTTGGCAATTGGTAAAATATTGGGTTTGGGATTCATAATGCCAAGAATGTGGCTTCTGACAACTGTTATTGACTTGCTAAAAAAATTCCTATAAAATTTGAGCTTTCCATAAAAATAGCAAGAATACATTTATAATGTTCAGAGACATTCTGTATTTTTTCTCTTAGGTTCTCCTTGTCATCCGAATTGCACAAGAGAGCATTGCTGGGGTCCTGGTGAAGAGAATTGCCAAATACGTAAGAACATAGATTGATATTCCCCCCGCTTCTGCTGAAATAGTATAGGGTAAGGTAGGGTAGGATAATGTAGGATAGCGTAGGGTTAGATAGGATAGGATAGGATAGGATAGGATAGCAATTTAATGTGTAAGTAAATTACTGGTAAGTAGACTTTTTATATCTTCTGGCTATTCTCTTATACCATAAAAATCAGCTGGTTTTGCCTCATTTTGCAAACTGCAAAATGTAAATCTTGTTTCCATTGGTTTTAGATTCCTAGTCCTCAGAAAGAAACAGTGTACAGGTAGTCCTCGACTTAATAACCACAATTGAGTCCAAAATTTATTTTGTTAAGTGAGACAGCTAAATGAATTTTGCCCCATTTTACAACTTTTCTTGCCACAGCTGTTAACTGAATCACTGAAAATGTTTATTTAAACAGCTGTTAAATAAATCTGGTTTTCCCATTGACCTTGCTTGTCAAAAAGATAATTGGACAGACCCTGGAAGTCTTCTAGTCTAACCTCCTGCTCAAGCAGGAGACCCTACACTACTTCAGATAAATAGCTTTTCCAGTCTCTTCTTAAAAGCCTCCAGTGCTGGAGCACCATAAATCCTGAAGGCAAGCCATTTCACTGGTTGATAATTCTCACTGCCAGGATATTTCTCCTTAGTTTTAAGTTGCTTCTCCCTTTGGTTAGTTTCCAATCATTGCTTCTTGTCTTGTCTTCTGTCCTTTGGAAAATAAGTTGACCCCCTCTACTTTGTGACAGCCCTTCAGATATTGGAACACTGCTATCATGTCACCCTTAGTCATCGTTTTCACTAAACTAGACATACCCAATTCTTGCAACTGTTCTTCATAAGTTTTAGCCTGTAGCCTCCTAATCATCTTTGTTGTTCTTCTCTGCACTCTTTCCAGTGTCTTAACAACTTTTTTTATATTGTGACCAAAACTGGATGCAGCATTCCAAATGTGGTTTTACCAAGGCCTTATTAATACTTCATGTGAGCTTGATTCTGTCCCTCTGTTAATATAGCCTAGAGTTGCATTGGCTCTTTTGACAGCTGCAGCACACTACTGACTCATATTTAAGTGATTGTCTACTTGGACTCCAAGATCCTTCTTGCAATTACTGCTTTTGAACAATGTTCCATCTAATCTGTACCTGTACATTTGGGTTTTGTTGCCTAAGTGTAAAATTTGGCTTTGTCTACATTTAATTTTACTTTAGTTGATAGGGCCCAATGTTCCATCTTCTGGGAAACTGGCTGTTCCTGCCAGCTTGGTGTCCTCTGCAAATTTGATGAGTTCCCCTTCTGTTCTCTCATGTAAACAGTTTATGAAGATAGGGCAAAAGGTGGAAAAGGTTATCACTTGAATTAGGTGCCAAGCATATTTGATCAGGTGACCATCGGGGATGCTTAAATGGTCATAAGTTTGAAAAATGCTTATAAATCACTTTTTTCAATCCCATTGTAACTTCAAATGATCACTAAATGAATGGTTGCAAGTTGAGGACTACCTGTAACTAAACTGTGATTCAATCAAATAATATTTGTGTTTTCTGAAACATTTTTATTTGTAAAATATGATGTAGTTTAACTTGTGGTATTTTTAACTTTCAGTAACTAAGATTGACTGTGCAGCACAGTGCTCAGGTCGATGCAAGGGAAGATTGCCAAGTGACTGCTGTCATACTCAGTGCGCAGCAGGATGTACAGGTCCTAAAGAAAGTGACTGCTTGGTAAGGAAGCTATAGAAACTTGCATAGCATTTTAGCAATATAAAAAAGGAAATAAAAAATCAGATTAGTGCACTTAGATTTCTTTTTCAGGTATTAACTACAATAAATAGAGAATAAAGCAATAAAAAGTAATATAACAAAAATAATAAAATTAAAAATTAAACTTTGTGCTTTAATCTCATTCTTAAAGTATTCCAAGAAATTCAATAAGGTTGTATTTCAACAGTGTAGCCATTTCTTTTAGTTATAATTATCTAGCTATTATTAGTTAGTCCCAAATTATATTTACATTTTTTATTTGGTCTCTCTACATATGTCCTGGAAGAGAAATATAGGAAAATCCCATATGAATCCCATTATTGCTCTTGTGAAATGAATGCTATAGAAAACAGAGCCCATGTTCTTCTGTATTAACAATTCTACAAGGATATTTATAACCAGTTGATTATTCCTCTTTTATTTAAATTTCTGGAACACCAATAGCTTTTACTTGCACTGTCTGTTACACCATCAAATCAGAGGTGGGTTCCTACCAGTTCGCACCTATTCGGTAGAACCGGTTCGTCAAATCTATCGAACCGGTTAGAAGAGGTTCCACCAGTGGACCCGGAAAGCAGGCCACACCTACAGAAGAGGTTCCAAAAATTTTTGAAACCCACCACTGCATCAAATAAATGTATTTCTCTGAAAGTAGCAAAATGTTGCTACATTATGTGTAAACTTTCCTACAATAGTTCTTGTTGTTAAAGGGTAACGTTTTATTGAATGTATTTTTATCGATCAATGACCAAAATAAAGTTATCTGTCTACACTAATGCTTGGATGGATGGAATATTTAATTCTCTGAATATTAATCTTACCTAATTGTTTTAAATCCACTGCTTTCATTTCCCATCATTGTTAAAACAAAAGATGGTTCTTTTTTGTATATTATTTGGATCACCTTTGTATAGGCATGTCGCAAGTTTTCGGATGATGCAACTTGCAAGGAGTCTTGTCCAGCTTTACAAATATACAATCCCTATACTTACCAGTTGGAAGATAACCCAGAAGGAAAGTACAGTTTTGGAGCAACTTGTGTAAAAAACTGTCCACGTAAGTTAAATAAATATTATTATTTATGTTAAATACTATTTAACAAAGCTATTTAAGTTTCTTTCTACCTTTCATTTGGAATGCTTCATATTAACTCCAAATTTGTACCTCAAGATGTTATTCCTATATGCTCATCTATCTATTCTAAAATGAAGCATCAGAAGTATAATACTAGGCATGCAGTGCTGAACTTGTGAAAAATAAATGAAATACTGGAGTATGTTTTGAAAGTTTATTTATAAACGTATACATCCATAAGAATTTACTCTTGAGATTTCATTCAGTGGAGAAAAGAATTTTGGGAAAATCTCATAGTAAGGGGTTCATATGTAAGGAATGTGTGTGAATAGTCTGTCAGTACCTGAACAATCAGCTCTTTGACAGATGTAATTTGTATAACTTCCACAACAATTTAATTCCAAATATCTTATGGGAATCTTTCTATATGGTGTTTTTCAATTAGAAAATATGAGTAGCGAAGGAAATTTCATTGTGGTGAAAAAGTAGATTCTCAGTTACCTCTAGAATAAGAACGCTTTTGAAAAATGGTAAAACTGATTTCAGTATTGCATCCATCTAGGGTGTTCACATTCCAAATCTACCTTATTCTATCTATCTTAATTCTCTTCACTTTTAATGTACAGTACATATGCAATTCACTGAAATGTTTCAAAGGTGTGCTATGTAGAAGCTACTGCTATAAAATACACTCACAGCTGTTCAAAGTACTGGCAAGGGTTTTTTTGCACATCAGTCCATTCTGAAGTTTAGATTTGATCTGCCATTTTATTTCAATATATTAAAACTTACTTAAATTGCATACCATTTATATTGATAAGCTTATAGTTGATTTGGAGAGTATGTTTGTGTACTTTTTTGATAGAATATGTGTTTTGGCTGGAAATAAAAAATATATCAACCAAGGAAATAACACAAATTCTGTGACAAGTCTTCTTTTTTCTCTTATGTCTGTCTGTCTGTTTTCCCTCTCTTTTCTTAATTTTTTTCTAGATAATTATGTAGTAACAGATCATGGCTCATGTGTCCGATCATGTAATGCAGACTCTACAGAAGTAGAGCAGAATGGCATTCGAAAGTGTAAAAAATGTGATGGTCCTTGTAGCAAAGGTATGATGGGTAGAAAATGAAATTATGTAACAACTCGAAGGATTACCACTAACACTAGGCACTCTACATATTAATATGATGCCTAATGTGATGTCTGTGAAGCTTTAATTATTTTACCAAATTTATGTTAGCTGCAGCTGTTTTTAAAATTTTATTTTATCAATTTAACATTTTTATTGAGTTATAAGATAAGATACAAAATACAAAAGTAAATAGGAAAATAGTGGGGAGGAAAAGTGGGAAGAGAAGTGACGAAGGATTAGGAAAAAGAAGCATTGATCATCCGATTCTCTGTGTTGCAGCAAAATAAGGCATTAATATCAAATCACAACTATTTGTTTTTTCATAATAATATAAACTAGACATTTCTATAAGGATCTATCAGTGTAATCAGTAAAACCCCAAATCAAAGTTTCATTCTTTTCCACTTCAAGCACAAAGTTCAGAAATGGTCTCCATGTGGAAACAGAAGTACTTATATTCTTTTCTTTAATCTAAATGTTGATTATACTTACTATTAACATGCAAATTGATGTTAAGTCCATATCATGTTAGACAGGGCCATTTGGCAATCAAACCCATCCTCAGTACAAAATCAGTTTATTATTATTATTTTTTTGTAAAGCCATCCAACTCATGGTTAATTTGGACAGGGCACAATAAAAAATAAATTTAAAAAAATCTGGTAAAAGAAACAGCCATTTTAAGTAATACAATATATGATTCATTATTCAGTGTAACTAAGGTTAGGGAACAGCCAGATTTTCAAGCACTGGGTGGATGGCAGCCCAACAAATCTCAGAAAAATTGTGTTCTGGATGAAAAGTGTTGCAACAGAGAATCTAATGTCAGGGATTCCTGAGAGATGACTATTAACTGCCCATTTGAAGATAAGAAAGAAGAGGCTTTCCCCTATTGATTTCACAATCAAATTGTTCCTATCATTTACAGATAGTCCTTGATGAACTCATTCAGTGACTATTCAAACTTAACAATAGTGCTGAATAAAGAGTAGTTGTGGCTGTCACAATATCTCCCAAGTCAAATGACATTGCCACTCAGATGCTTAGCAGTAATAGCATTACACTGTCCTGTGAACACGTTACTACCATTTGTGACCTTCACTTCCAACAAACAAAGTCAACAAAGATACTGGTGGGACTTTGACAATGGTGATCACATGACTGAGGAATGTGACCATATGGGGTTTGCCCAGTGGTGGCTTCAAAATTTTTTAGAACCTCTTCTATAGGTGAATGGGTGGGAGTGACTTGCCAGCCATGTGACCAGGTGGGAGTGGCTTGGCAGTCATGTGACTGGGTGGGCATGGCCAACTTGTAAAATGTGGTGAAATTAACTTAACAGCGCTCTTGCTTAGCAACCAAAATGTTGGCTCAGTACTCTGGCATTTAAAGCACACAAGTCTTAAAGCTGTCAAGTTACAAGATCCTTGCACCCCTAACTTTTAGGGGGAAAAAACCCAGGGATGTTCAAACTTGACAGCTTTAAGACTTGTGGACTTCAGCTCCCAGAATTCCTCCTCCAGTCATGTTTGCTTCCCTACTCCTATCCATCATCACTTGAATTGTTTGTCCCACCTACGTTGTGAAGTTCTATCTCTCTTTCTCCCATGTGGGTGTCCCCACTATTCTACCAGTCATACCCACTCACACATGTAGTAACAGATCATACCCACTCACACAACAATTCAGTAGGTAATGGGATGAGAAATGTTCCCATGGCACTTTAACTGTGGCTCTCAGCACTGGCAGAGGTTTCTCACTCTCCATAGCATTTACAATCACTCATCTTCCCATAAGCTGGCATCTCCCACTGGCCACGTAGGCCACATGTGACTACATTCTCTCTCTCTCTCTCTCTCTCTCTCTCTCACACACACACACACACACACACACACACACTCACTCACTCACTCACTCACTCACTCACTCACCCTGCCTGTCTCTGGGGATATATATTTTATATAAATATAAAATGTCAAATCCACTCACTCATCACAAAATCTTCAGAACTATAAAGTCTACAAACTTTAAATTTGGCATGTATGTTCCTCTGGACTTCTAGGAGCTTGCTAAGAAAGGATTTTTCGAAATGACCATCAGATATTTAGTATTTCTAATACAATATTTATATATTAACACGCTCCAATACTAAAGAGTTAGACTTTCTACTCCCCCTCCCAACCTGAAAAAAAAATCTGTTCCAACTGCCACTTGGGTGTGGGTGTGGCCAACACATCACTCATCCAGCCTGCAGACTGGGAGTTTAGACAATGAGGCCAGTCTCGGGGAAAGAAGGGGATAAGATAGGAGAGGCCTCTGTGGGGCAAGCCTGAGGGAGAGAAGGGGCTAGGAGAGGATCAATGGGGCCAGCCTGAGGGAGAGGAGGGGAATAGGAGAGGAGAGGCTTCTGTGGGGCAAGCCTCAGAGAAAGAATGGGAGAGGAGAGGCCAATCGTAACTACTCATTAATTTTAAAGCTGTAAGTGTTGATTTATCAAGCCCGATCACATTGTTTTATAGCAGAGCATAGGTATCCAGCTAAAATATATGTATATGTATACACATATGCATACGTGCGCAAGCACACACATACACACAGAGTATATGTCTTTATGGTGATTTATTAGTGGTAAATATTTTATCAATGAATTAAATAAAACATAATAAAGAAGATATCCTATGATAAAATTATTTTCTTACAAATGCTGTTTATCCCTGTTTTCTTGGGTTTAAATCAAATTGTGTACCTTGTTGCTGCTTAGGCATGATTCTAATCCTTAATCCAACATGAAATACCTTGAAAGCATTCCTAACATTCTATTTTTCCTTTTTTCTCAGTGTGCAGTGGAATTGGAATAGGTGAACTGAAAGATGTTCTTGCAGTAAATGAATCCAATATTGATTATTTCAAGAACTGTACCACAATCAATGGTGATCTCTCATTTCTGCATGCATCCTTTTTTGGGTAAGTTGCTGATTGATTAAATGTTGACCATAAAATGTACTAAAAACATGTTACCTCATTAGTCAAGTATTCAATTATTCTTTTATAGTGATCTATACACAAAAACACCTCCTTTGGATATAAGGAAATTGGGTATTTTTAAAACTGTTAAAGAAATTACAGGTTAGTAAAATGTTTTACATTTATTTATTTATATTTATTTCAATATTGTATAGATGGTCTTTTAAATATTCAGTTATTTTTATTCATTTAATTTCAAGGTTTTTCAACTGCTGCAAGTTTTAAGTAGTTTAAAATTTAATTTAAAAAAATTAAAAGGACACAGTGTTTTTTTAAAAGAATAAAGCTGACCATAAAAACAGAACCAAAAAAACCCAAAAGGTACAACTACCATCCTAATTTTAGGTTAGGTCTTTAATCATTTTTGGACATTCAAAAAGATGGGAGAAGCATGAATTTTCAGGTGCTGTAGAACAGTGGTTCCCAAACTTGGCAACTTTAAGACTTGTGGACTTCAACTCCCAGAATTCTCCAGCCAGCTCTGCTGTAGAATAAATCGTTCCACAGGCGAAGAATCATCACTGAGAAGGCATACTTCCTCAGTCCTATGAAGACATTGCTTAATCAACAGGACTTACTTAGCAGGACCCACCAAAGCTGATCGCACTGATCAGACAGAAACATATGAAGAAAGCATATGAAGAAGCTCACAAGTAAGCTGTGCTATGGATAGCATTACTTTGAATTGCACCAGAAATCAACTAGCAGCCTATCACAAAACAATGGCTCTGTACCACAACATCCCACCACTACTTCCACCACTACATTCTAGATTAATTGTAGCTTCAGAGTGGTTCTCTCGGGAATAGTACAATTTCATTAGTCAAATATTCATGTATGTTCATGGTGAGAAATTTGGTTAAACTTTCTAGATTTAATCATTCTACTCAACTGTGAAAATCACCCTCAATAGATACTCTATTGAGCCCCCTGAACATTTCTGTATTTAGATGTTTTTTACATTTGAAATATGCATTTGAAACACCTGTTTGTAGTAGATCATCTATTTCAGAGTTTGGCCACTATACTTCTATAGCCAAGGGGGGGGGGGTTGTGCGGTAGTCTATTAACTTGTTCTTCCCAGACTGATGGACAAGAAATATACATGTTCTTGATGGCTTAGGAAAATTATAGAAATAAAGGAACAATTTATCCTTTAAAAAAATATGCTTACCATGTAAGATTCTTTCCAAGATATTAGGCATCCATTTTATATAGTAAAAGAAAGAGTATTCTATAAAATGATCACATTTCCAAGGTGAGTTGCTAAGGAGAATTGAGTTTTCTGTAATGGCTCAGTCAGCTAAGTCCACAGCCCTGCCTTCACACTGTTTAGCTGATTTAGTTGCCTGCATGTAAATTGTTTACAAAGTAAGGTTTAAAATAACTCTGTGCTGAAGCTTCCTGAAATGTCATGATTCATTTTGATGTTCTCGTAAAAACTAAAGAGAAAAGACATTCTTTTTTGTCAGTAATACTTTGTACATGTTGTTTGTTTGTTTTAGGGTTTCTATTGATCCAGGTTTGGCCTAAAAATGTCACTGATTTGAGTATTTTTGAAAATCTGGAAGTAATACGAGGTAGAACAAAACGGGTGTAAGTACAACAGCATGCCATAAAACTTGTACTTATGTAGAGTTGTGATATTTTAAAAATACCAGATCATTGTTCTGTCATAGATCAGTTGCTAGTTTGCAGATTAATAGAAACTACAGTGGAATGCATCAGCACTACTGCCACTATTTCTTCTTTTTTTTTAAAGATGGTTGGAAATGTTTAATTCATTCTTTCTTCTGATTTTTTTTAATTAAAATTACTGTTTAGAAGAGTGTCCATCAGATTTAATAATCTGCAGGACTCAAGGATCCCATTTCATTTATATTGTTTATTTTAAGTTGTTTATTCATTTTAAGTTGTTTATTCTTAAAAGGTTTGCAGTTGTAGTGAGGAAAATGTTAACTACAATATGGTAGACATACAAACGTTTTAACCTTTCTTCCTTTTTTCAGGGCTCAAACCTGCATTTGAAATTGCTTAAATGTAATTGCAAGGTGGGGAGGAGTTGATATAGATCAGGGGTGTCAAATTCAAGGCTGGTGGGCCAGATGCAGCCCATGATGTAGTAGGATCTGGTCCACAGTGCCGTCCTAGAAAATGTAAGGAGCCTGCTGTGTCTCTTCGGCCCAGTCTACCTGCGTCACGTCTGCCTGGTCTATCTGCATTGCTTCAGTCTGGTCTACCCAATACAAAGAAGAAACATCAGGGCAGCATGGCTTCAACCCAGTCTACTGCATTGCTTCAGCCCGGTCTACCCATTGCAAAGAGGAAACATCAGGCCATTGTGGCTTCAGCCCAGTGTACCCATTGTGAAGAGGAAACATTGGTCCAGCGTGGCTTCAGCCCAATCTACCCATTCCAAAGAGGTCTACCCACATCACTTTGCCCCAGTCTACCCAATGCAAAGAGGAAGCGTGCCAGCAATTTGAGGAGTGGCATCAAGCTAGCCATGCCTACCCATCTGGCCACGGCCAGTGCATTATGTCCAGCTGGCTACACCCAGTGAGTCAGCCATGCCCTCCCAGCTGCCCAAAGTCAACCGCAGCCTTGATGTGCCCCCCAATGAAATTGAGTTTGACACCCCTGATGTAGATTATTATCATCCTGGGAACAGAATGTTAAAGCAATTTCCAAACAAAAATAGATTTATATTCTTAAAATTAATCAGGTCACATGGTTCATAATCTATATTGGATAATCTACATTGGATTGCATAATCTATATTGGATTCTGTATATATTGCATAATCTATATTGGATTCTGTATATATTGCATAATCTATATTGGATTCTGTATGCTAATTGTGTTGTTTTACTGACTGAAAACACCTTCAGAAATATTTCCACTTTCTCCTAACTCATAGCAGACTGGATTCTAGAAACTTTTACTAGCTTATTTTTTTTCTATCTGGAGTTTGATGTGAAAGTTGGAGAACTCCAGTGAAACAAATTGCTTTCTGACAGGACTTGAAAGTATACAATGTAATATTGATTTCTGAATTGTCATTACAGACTAGGAAACAAAAAGGAATGGCTTAGAAGCTCTAAAAGTACCAGGAGATCAAAGTTCTCTGCTAATTTCTCATCTTGGCTTTTACTTTTACTTTTAACTTACAAATCTAGTTGAAACAGATCAAATATTGTCATTAAACTTTCTGTTGTACACGGCCCACTTACAGAGTTAGGTATCATTCTAAATTTAATAAATAAATTGTTTGATATAATTTCCCAATCTTTCTACCTTAGAGGTCAATACGCTCTTGCAGTAATCAACCTGAATATCAAATCTTTGGGACTACGGTCTCTCAAGGAAATAAGTGATGGAGATGTAGTCATTTTGAAAAACAGACACCTTTGCTACGGCAATACATTGGATTGGAATAAACTTTTTGTAACACCAAAACAAAAAATACAAATAAGCAAAAATGGAAATGAAAGTGAATGTGGTAAGTGCATGTGGTTCATATAACTATGAATGGTATATATTTCTGAAAATCAGTTTATATTCTTAAAATTAATCAGGTCACATGATTCATCATATTAGTATATGCATTTATCTGTACATTTCAGCTGTGTAAACATTCTTCCTTCAAGGCCTCTGCTGGCCTTTAAAGCATGCATGCACATGTGCAGAAGCCAGGTCGGCCAGCATTCTCATATCATTTTGCCAAAGTCCTGACAGAGGTTTCTTCTATGAATCTACGGGCATGCTGGTAAAACTGGGAAAGTACTTATATATCCTGTAAGCAATTAGCTATATATAAGTGTAAATGGTATAAATGTGGTTTGTATTCTAGCTCCCAAATGTTCTTATAGTTGATCCAGCAAAACAAATTATTTGCTGGCCAATCCTATTGGCCAGTAAATATAACTCATTCTATGTTGATTTCCACTTTAAGATCATTAAAGCAAATTGTCACTATTGCTTTTTCATATGGTTGTAGTAAGTTTATGTGAGCAGTGCCTATGCCTTGGTTGAGCAATACATTGCTTGTTGGAATACTGAGTCAAAAAATCAGTTCAGCATTTTTTCTTCTCTGAAGCATCTCAAGTATAGTTTTGCTAGTGTAAAGTGTGACCACCAACTTTCAGTATTTCAATCATAACACAGTCATTTTCTAAAGCTTTGCCATTTTTCATTGGGTTGCTGCCGACATAACTGCTGTTTCGGTGCACAAAATGTTTTGTTGGGCCACAGGCTGCATAGTGCAGGTGGGTCTGAGCTCCATGACACTCCAGGCCTCAGGCAGAGATGGAGGTGCAGTGGGAGAGGCATCTCCCAGCTGTAGCAGCCATGGGCAAACAAAGACAGATGGTGGGGTCACATTAAGAAAGCCTAGCCAGGCATGCCACAGCCACTGGGTGCTCAGTTGCCGCTGTCCAATTTCATCCTGCAGCGAGGCTGCTTCCCAACTTTCCCATTTGTGGGGCCAATGGGAGTGGGTAGGAGAGCAGCAAGCTCACTGGAGGACAAGGTTGGGTGGAGAGTTTAGATCATACCATTCTATGGTCACTTCCACCATTAAAACGACTGATGACAGAATAATTGCAGAATATGGTTTTATCATGTGACATGACAACCTTTCCCTATGCCTAAAGAGAAAAGTTTTCGACATGCAAGAAGAAGAAGAAGAAGAAGAAGAAGAAGAATATATGATCTACAATACATGCAATTTTTTTTTAATAAGACTAGAAGGAAAAACTTTTTTTTAATAAGACTAGGGGAAAAACTTGAGGTTGTGTGAGACTTGAGGTTGTGTGAAAAGCAACGCACGTTTCTTGCATGCATTGCCAAAACAAGTTAGTTCAAAATATTTATATATAATATCATATATAGTAGGATACCAGCATTATCCCAAGGAGCCTTGATGGTGCAGTGGTCAAAGTGGAGTATTGCTGGCAGACTACCCACAGCCTAAAGTTTGATTCAGATAGGGCTGAAGATTGAATCAGCCTTCCATCTTTTCAAGTTCAGTAAAATGAGGACCCAGATTGTTAGAGGCAATATGCAAATAATACTAACATTGTAAACTGTAAAGCACTGTGGGTGATACATAAACCTAGAAGCTATTGTTATGGTAATGCTATTATCACTGTTTCCTAGATAGGTGATTTTTCTGGATGTTGGCAACTGCTTGGATTTTAACAGTTCAGAAACTGAAATTGTTTAAATAAATTTAAACCATGCCATACATATTTCTTCTTCTGGTATACTGATAAACACTTGGTTCTGTCTTTTAGCTGGACAAGTTTGCCATCCCTTCTGCTCAAATATAGGCTGCTGGGGCCCAGGACCCTTCCAGTGCTTTTCTTGCCGTTATTTTATCCGCCAACAGGAATGTGTAAAACATTGTAATATTTATCAAGGGTAAGAGTTTCAAGCATCTCATGTAATGAAGAAGTGAAATCCTTTCAATTCCATAATAATGCTTTTTGAGAAGATGCTTAATAAGATTTTGAAATATTAAGTACTTTTCCTAACACACAGACACACACACACACACCAAACCCCCTTACCAGTTGAGCTGTGCAGATCTTTGATCTCAACAAATTATAGTCATTCAAGCTAATAACTGATAAAGATTCTGAAAATGAACTACTGCAATGTTAAGAATGCAGTGCTAAAACATTTAACATAATTAGTTCCTATAAAAATATTTTTCTTTGTTTCCTGCTGCTATAGTTTTCCAAAGTTAAGTAATCAATTGAGGAAAAACAAAATGAATGCACAATATGAAACTTTTTAAATAACTTTATTTAAAGGCAGATGTTTTACAAAAAAAAAATCCTACATATATTGTGTTGATCTAAATAGCAAATTATAGGTACACTGTAACCAGTAACAAATAATAGTTGTTTAAGCCATCTGTTTCAGTTATCATGTTTTAATAATTCATTAAATGGTTTCAGAGATGAGATTCTCTAACAGATAGAACCTGTTAACTTATTTGTATGTGTTTTTAGGCCACTATCACTACATAAAACCTAATTTATCAAAACATTATGGGAGCCAAAGTGATTTTAGCATAATTGTGTTATTTATAGTCTTATAAATATATGTATTTTGAGCTCCCTCTCCTTGAACTTATGTGTTGTCTGTTTATCAAAACCCTTTTCATTTTATCATCAGAATTATCTTTGACTAAAATGATTTTATATTAGTCACAGAATTACCTAAATGAAACCATAAAGTGTTCAGCAATGTCCAATGAACACAGTAAAATATCTATGGGCATTTCTAATATTGCAAACTTACCTGGAAGTGCTTCTCTCTGATATTTCCCTACAATAAATATAACTTTTTTATAATATATCTTCTTTTTAATAGTTATGACATGGTCAGAATTCTTTGTCTATCTAAATTTGAATAATATGCTTTCTTAGTGCTGACATATTGGAAGATAATGTTTTTCTTTTGGAAGATAAGGATTGTCAGTGTGGTAAAAGCTTGTCAGGATGATTAACTGCTTTAAATTGTCTCATTATGATGCTTCTATGACTTATAATTTTGTTCTGAGATTATTAGCTGTTAATAAAGCACAATATATTGAAAATCCACTTAAATAGAGAAGAAATATAACGCAAAGAAAAACATCTCATATATAATTTTTAAGGACATCAGTTAAAAATCAAAATATGTTAATGTAATTTGTAATGGTTTAATTCATCATGCCAAAGCTCTGTTCTTACCCAAAGACAAGTAATAGCTTACGATAAAAAAGTTTTGCATTTTAAAAAAGGAATAATTATAATAAAAGGAAGTCAGAAAAAGTAAAAGAGGGATCCATCATTAGTTTAATGTATACATATTTCTTTTTTAAAAAAATTGTGGTTTAAGTAAACATTTTAGAAATAGCTTTAGTAAAAATGTCTTGAAAAGTATGAGACTGACATATTTCTTTTTCTATCCCTTTTAGAATGCCTCGAGAATATGAACAAAATTCTAGTTGCTTTCCCTGCCATTCAGAATGCCTTGTGCAAAATTCAACTGAACCTTATTTAACTTGCACAGGACCGGTAAGTGCACATACTTTAGTAGTTCTTAGAATATTTCTTAGAATATTTGAGTATATGCAAATATCAGTGTGCTCACAAATAAATAGATTAATATTCAAAGGATACATATAATTTTACTGTAGGGACCTAAAAGTATCCAATCCTAAACTTTTTTCTCAGCCTATATCAGTGATGGTGTACCTTTTTGGCCATAAGCGAGGGGAGCACAGGAGGGTCGTGCACGGACGTGCCACACCCATAATGCAATGCTTGACCCCGTACATGTGTGCAAGGCAGGCGCAACCTCCCCATTTTTTGCATGCTTTTTTCGCTCTCCCCAGGCTCTAGAGGCTTTATAGGAGCCTGGGGATGGCGAAAACAGCCTCCCCCACCTCCCCAGAGGCCCTCCGAAGGCTTCAGGAGCTTTCGCAAAAAATGGCCCTATGGGCAAACTGGAAGTTCAGGAACGGTTTGCTCGTAGGGCCAGTTTTAGCCCTCTGAAGCCTTCAAGAAGGCCTCCGGAAGGCCCCTGAAGGCTCCGAAAGGCTTAAACCGGCCCAAGAGCAAACTGGAAGTGATTTTCAGTTTGCTCATGGGGTCATTTTTCATCCTCCAGAGCCTTCAGGGAAGCCTCCGGAAAGCCCCTGCAGGTTCCGAAGGACTTAAACTGGCCCTACAAATAAACCAGAATTCCATTACCTGTAGGGCCGTTTTTTTGCACTCCGGAGGCTTCGGGGAAGCTTCTGAAGCCTCCAGGGGGCCTCCGGGGCCCGGGGAAGGCTGTTTTTGCCCTCCCCAGGTTCCTATAAAGCCTCTGGAGCCTGGGGAGGGCGAAAAATGGCCTCAAAAAAAGGCTAAAGTCAGCTGGTTACCTTTTGTAGCTATAATTTCAAATATTAGTTTTCAATAATTTTTATCATTTTTAAAAAATATTTAAATTGTAGTGGCTTTAAGCCTGGGGTTTAAATTGTGCTGCTTTGTCTTAAAATATTGCATTAAATTACTATTCTCGTGTTATCCCAATTTCTACAAACTGTGAATAACATAATAAAAATGCCAGAAATCTAACCAGACAGGTTTCAAGAGAATTAGGAAGAGGCACCACCAACTAAGAAAGGTTCTAAAGCCTACAAGAATTGATCTAAAAAATCTAAGCATGGTTGGAATTCATTAGATGGGGGAATCACAGTATAATCTCAGCTGAACACTTGATTGGGAAGTAAAACAAAACACCCATAGATGTCTCCAATGACATCACTATTAGTTGAATTCAACTAACATGAGATTTTTTTTCCCATGGGGATCACAAAAAAGAAGGAAGTTTGGTTAACGCAGGATGGAGCAGAGATGTTATTCCGGATGTTGCATCCAGAATTACTGAAAAATATTTTGAAGAGCTCTATAACCAATGATTTCTCTACTCATTTGGATTCAGCCAAATATCATGCTTACTACAAAGTGCATGGAATTTGCACCCAAGCTGCATTCTGAAATGAAAGAGCTCAGATTCTCATGAGGCAAGAGTGTCACTTATTGGGGAAGGATATGTTTCCCAGTAGAGTTGTTTTCCTCTGGTAACATTGAGGTGTGTGTGTGGAATTAAAAGGAGAATTGTAAGATTTTACCTAGCCTGGTAATGAAACATTTGGAAACCAACCCAAAAGCTCAGGGAACAGACTCCACCCTTATCCTACACACAAGCTACAGATATTTTCCATGCAAGAGAGTTGGGAGTGTTTTGCTGTGAGTTTTGATGATCGTCAATACGCAAACAGCTACACTTCTTCAACAAATGCCTTTGCAAACAAACAACCCCCCAAAACATACCCTACTGACCACGAATCAACCACCCATAAATATTGAAACTAGTCTCCCAAAACAGGTGCAAATGCTTGATTCATGATCACTGAGGCCTACAATTGCCTGGAAAAATGCCAACGCATCATTGACAAACAAAAAACCACATGCCTCAACTCCATCAGACAGGACCTGACAGTCGGGCCTTAAATACATGATCCACAAGAATACTAACAAAATACAAATGCAAAAATGCAGTTCATTACAGGAGAAACTCAATACCATCACCCCAAAACCATAAGACAATAACTCAGAACTATGCATCAAAAATCTATCCAGCAGACACCCCCATCAGACCATCTTCACACATGGCCTCAATTCAAGGCCATTCCTAGCCAACTTTGAATGCATTCTAAAAACAAACCATCTGGACCAAAAAACACCAAGATCTCAGGAAGAGAATCATCTCCAACGTACAATGCATCAAGCGCATAAAGTGTTTTTCTCAGCATGCCTCTGAGAAAACCGGCAGTAGCAGCAGCTGGAACCCACCCCTGATCTGTAGTGGTGTAGGGTTTACTGCCTAGGCACAGGGTTGGACTAGATGACCTCCAAAGTCCCTTCCAACTCTGTTATACTATTGTACCTATTGGATTCACAAACTAGTAAAAACTCAGCAGAGAAAAATCAGACACCTGATCAATTACTCAACCCATTCAATAAACTTCACAGAACAATTTCTTCAACTCATCAACTACACCAAGAACAACAAGGAAGAAATCATGGTCTCCTTTGATGTCACAACACTCTTCATCTCGATTAACATTGGCCTGGTTAAACAAACCATATATAACCTATTCACCAAAATCACACCCACAAAGATCACTCTGTCACAGAACACTCCATGTCCATAGAAATCGTCCCAGAAACTTCTGGATCTATACATGCTTCAAGTTCAAAGGGAAAATCTATAAGCAAATCCAAGGCACTGTGATGGGATCAGCCATATCAGGCCTAATAGAAGCAATCATGCAACAACTCTAATCCATAGCCCTACCTACCATCTAACCAAAATTTTGGATTTCTACATTGGCAATACCTTTGTCATCATGGAATGTTTCCAAATTGAAGAAACATACTATCTATTCAATAACATATGCCCCAGGATCAAATTCACATGTAAAGAAAAAACAGACAAAAGAATCCCATTCTTTGACTTTGACATAAGAAGACTAGACAATGGGAAACTGGGAACCCGTGTCTACCACAAACTCACTCACAGGGACCAGATCCTCGGTTCTGCAAGCAATTAGCCCAGTCACAAAAGAAGCTGCATCCAACCCTAACCCTAACCCTCTTTGGAAGGTCCAGGACATACTGCAGCACCACAGCACTAAGAAAAGTGGAATAGAAACAGCTGCTTGCAATCTTTCTCTTCAATGGCTATCCGAAAAACTTTGTATTCCAAAACACAGCACCCAAATTACAACACACTACACAGCCAACCACCCTGCAAAAACTAACCCTGCCATACACAAAAGGTGTTGGAAATGATCGTCAGAATCTCCAATCTCTAGGAATCACAATAGCCCACAAACCCACACCCACATCCACCAGTAATTATCCAGAAACAAAGACAAGTTACAGAAGGATGAAAGAAACAATGTAATTTACAGAATCAACTTTAACAATTGCAAACAATTCTATATGGGACAAACATCATGTCAATTGAAAACCAGAATACATGAACACCAGCTGGCAGTCAATTGACATGTTCCCAAATCCCTAATAGCTATCCACACTGACATCAAACAGCACTAATTCAATTGGAGCAATACACGAATCATCAGCCACACTACTACCTGCTATGCTTGTGAGTTTATCGAAGCCAGGAACTCCACAAGCAATTCCATCAACAGAGATATTGACCTACAACCACCTATGAACCCTTGAGAATTCAAATGAACCACACAACCAACCAGCAACAGCACCAACTTTCAGACAATCCATACAACACCCCCAAGCAGCACTTCACCTCCCAATGACCTTCACCTGATGTGACCTATACATCACACAACCCATCACAAGACCCTTAATATGACTCTCTCATCATCCCTACTGACCACATAACGCCCTTATTAGCAGAACACCACCAATACTAACATTCCCTAAATTCCACTGAAAATAATACCTAGCCTGGTAACAAAACTTTCAGAATCAAACCACAAGCTCGAAAAATGAACCCCCATCCTCAAAAGGTTTTTGGAAATTTGTAAGACTATCTGGAAGTTGACTTATATTATAAACTTCACATTGGCATGAAATCAAATATTCTATATGTTTACTTACAGTAGTGAAATTGTAGAAATTGTACTCTGTATTCAATTGTGCCTCAATAATAATAACAATAACAACTATTCACTTGTAATTTCCAGCATCATGAAAACATTATCTAACACATTTCTAACCATTTTCTGATACTGCTGCAAAATATTAAGCATGAATAAATTCCTCTTTTTCCTTTCAATTCTTCTGAAAAATTGAAAGGCAGAGTAGGACATAGTTGGAGATCTGCAATCACTGTTTTTAATTACAAATAATTCATCTAAGCACTTTATATCTATTTTTCGTTGCAACTAATCAGGAAGGATATCAAGCAAATTGGATTTGATTCATTTTGCCCGGAAGGGAGAGAAGATATGTTATATTTAAATGTCTTGATTAGCCCATTAGAAAAATATCAGCTTGAATTTTCTTTATAATTGTAATTAGATAAAGCAGATGGCCCTGGCTTTTCCTACAAAATAAAGTATATAATTAGTATGTTCTTTAAAACTTCCAAAGCTACAAAAACCTACAAAATATTTAACATGTTACAGAAAAATAATAATATTTTGTTTGAAAATAACTGTTTTTCCAAAATCAATAGGATATTGAAGTAATAAAAGATACATACAATATTTTATCTTCTGACCTGAAGATATTTCAGATTTTAAAATCCATCATTCTCACCCTGCAAGATTTCTTTTGTCCACACATTTGATGGTGTAGTTTGACAAAGCCTGATCATTTCCAAATGTATTAATGTACATGCAAATGTATTTCATATCTACAAAAAATGCTGTGTTTCTTGTCCAGGGTCCCGGCAACTGCTTGGAATGTGCTCATGTAATAGATGGCCCACATTGTGTTAAATCATGTCCTGCTGGTATTTTGGGAGAAAATGATACCTTAGTCTGGAAATATCCAGATGAAAATTTAGTATGTCAGTTGTGCCATCCAAATTGTGTTCGTGGGTAAGCGATTTTTTTCTCTCAATTGAAACTTAATTGAACGGATAATGTTGCAATGTTATAAAATTTCAATATATGAACAAAACAGAACCGTCACTTAATCAATGCAGAATCAAATATAAGTACAACTTATGCTATAATTTCTCTATATATTTTTTATGGTTTAAAATATTTTTAGTTTGGTATACAATTAGTTTTCTTCTAGAGAAAAAATATCAACTTTAATGAGGAAATGTATTCAATATAATTACATGAGTAAAAGCATTATTGTAATGTTGCCCAATATTACCATTTCTTCTGATTTAAGCCTCCCCATAGCTATACTGATACTTTTCAGAAATCCACAAGATATTGTGATTATTCTCTTAAACTATTTAAGTTCTTTATTTTATAATGGCCTATAACAAAGCTAATTTTTTGAGAATTGGAATTGTAGTGACATCTGGTGGATAGTTAATATAAAGTATTTCATGGAGCACTAATTCCTAGATTGTAAATCAGTCTAGGAATTATGAGTCCATAGAGATTAAATCATATTGATTTTATACTGATAATTGTAATGTGATGTTAGTAATAACAGTATTCCACAAGAAAAAATCCTAGTTTTTCCTTGAATGCTACTTGAGCTAGGCTATCATTAATGTAAAACATCTCTACATAATTAAATGTTTTGCCTTATTCTTAAAAGTAACGTAATCACAACACAAAATAGGTTCATGTTCTAAAGTTGTAGTTATAAGAGTGATCCTCAATGAAACATGATTGTATAAACCGATGTAAAACTTGGAATGCAGAGATTATTAAACTGATTTGATTTACAAAGATTATTTCACAATTCAATCTATAGTGATACTTAGCAGATTTTGATCACTATTCAAGATGATTATCCAGCTGGTGTTTTCTAATATAAAATGACCATTGGTTAATAGTTTTAATGGTTTGCATTGTCACAATGATGTTGCAATACATCAGTAATTGTTCCTCTTTTGTTATTGCAATTGCTAGTAATAAGCCAGAAGGAGATAATATTACAGTCAACATTAATTATTATATGTATAGTGATAGGGATCTGCCACAGAGATGGGAAAGCTATAGGAAAGACTAGGACTATTGTCTAGACTGGAAAGTAAGAAAACATTTCAGAAGAAGTGAGTGGCAAACTACTTTGGTACTTTGCTACTATTGCCAAACACACCCATGGGGGGGGGGGGGGGGGGGGCTGTGAAATATCCAGCCCCATGGAAATTGTGAATGTGTCCAGGAATAAAGTTTGAATTAAAAGACAACATGACTTTGTTTGACTTTGGGCATAAGCAAGCAATCTGTAAGGACCTGTCCAAACTGGTCCCTCGGGAAAGCAAAACTCTTGACCCCATTGAGTTGAATTAAAAAAAACAAAACAAAGTGGTTGCAGTAAAGCCAGGTAGAATCTAAAGATCCCACACAAAGCAAAAGCAATGTTCCATTTCCCCAAACCCAACGCCCTGACCAGTCCACTGGCAGCTAATGTGATGCTACAATGATGTTTTGAGAATGTTGAAGTACTGGGCAGGTAACAGATCACTCAAAGGACACGACTGCCTTGGAACCAGGCTGGAATCAGATGGGAGGGGTCTGCTTTGTCTCCTAAGACAATTAGGAAGACAATTCCCTTTCCTAATCCCTAAGCAAAAGAGCGTGCAAAAAATGCCAGCAAGTCTTCCCCCTCCCCCACCAACAGAATAGCAGGACACAATGGTGTACCTGACATGTTGCTGACCTGTCCTGTAGAACAACAAAAAATAAAAAGGGAGAGAAGAAGGTTAAAACAGAAAAAAATCATTTTGGTTTATCAGGATATTTATTATGAAAGCACTTTAAAAGTTTAAGAGCCCTAACATCGCGTTGGTCAATCCATTCAATTTGGATTTCTGGGAAATCCTTCTAAGCTACTAAATATTGAAGGTTCCCCCTATGTTTACAGGAATCTAAAATATCTCTGTTATGACTGGCTCAGGTGGCGGCCGAAGCTTAGGTATAAGGGAGAAGTGACTAGGTTTTAATAAGCTGCCGACAGTTTATTAAGATGATGCTTCCATCGAGCTGGACCTTTCCAAATGAACAGAGGAGGTTGGGAGCCTGGGAGACTGATCAAGACTCAGGTGGTCCATAGGCATCAGAAATAAGGAAGACTAGGAAGAAAGAACCAAAGGGATAACTTTCACCAAGGCAGCTGTTTTGGCTGAGATGGGAGCAACAGCCAGAGCTGGAAGAGCTCAAGGGAAATTGAAGAATTGCTTTGTGCTTTGCGTGGGACCTTCAGATTCTGCCTAAAAAACCTGCCACAGCTGGTCCCTCAGGAAAAGCAAACTCTTGATTGCATTGAGTTGAATTGAAAGAACTTTTACTGAGAGAAAGTGGTTGCACTAAAGTCACACAGAATCTGAAGGTCCCATGCAAAGCACAAAGCAATTCTTCCATTTCCCTAAACTCAACCCTCCTGGTCAGTCCACTGGCAGCCAATGTGATGCCACAAGGATATTTTGGGAACACTGTGGTGCTAGGCAGATAACAGGTCACTTCCAGGGCAAGACAGCCTTGGAATCAGGTTGGAACCAGCTGGGAGGGAGTCTGCTCCATCTCCAAAGACAATCCCCCTCCTAATTCCCAAGCAGTAATAGCAAAAGAAAAAACATGCAAAAAATGCCAGCCACCCTTCTCCTCTCCCTCCAACAGAACGGCAGAACATAATGGTGTACCTGACATGATCATGTAAAATCACTTTATCATAGCTTTATTTCAGAATTACATTTGTGGTTTGTAAAAAGCATTTTTATAAAATTAATTTGATTGAGAAATGTAGAATAATGCTTAAGGTCATTTCGGTGGTTTACCACTATGGTCCCCAGAAAGATAGTCTTTTAATTGCTTTGTTCTTAATCATCTGGGAATATAATTTAAAGTTCTGTATTCATATTGATAATAATCTCTTGGTCTCACCTACCTACTTCCATTGGTAGAATGAAGATAGAACTTTAAATATTTCTTACAGAATTATTTTAAATGAAAAAGCAGAATATCTACTATTGTTTCTTATTAAAAAGTAACATCAAGTCAACAAATTTATTTATTTATTTATTCATTCATTCATTCATTTACCAAACTTCTTTGCTGGTAGGAGGCCTTCAGCTCGGTAATATAAATATCAAAATGTAAATATTGATTTGTGTGTGATCCACCCACTGAAGCACAAAATGAGAGTATCAGAACTCTACACCACTGGGCTGAAGGCCTGACTACCAGCAAAGATGGGGGGAAAAATAACTAAAACACATCACAGAAACCCTCAGAACATGAGGATATCCCAAGTTGGCTTTCATCTGTCCAGTTGCCTCTTGAAAAAGCACCTTTGGGACAGTGTTGTGACTCAGCAGCTGTCTTCTGTGAGTCTTTTCGGAATGCAAGATTAACGATGCAGCTGGGGCTCGTTAGTGGGGTTTTGGAGATAAAAGGACGGATGCTGCCACGCCCTAGTCGCAGGAGTCAACGTTCCTTCATGCGTTCCTTGGTTCGTATAACATTGCTTGATCATCAGTCGTGGTTTATGTAAGATACACTTGGATAAGTGCTTTGTGTTTCCTGTAACCCTGATTCAAGGCTACACTTGGAGAAGTGCATTTCTTGTAAGAGTTGTTTTGTTTTTCATTCCGTTATCTGGTCAGAGACTATATTTATGTTATTTTTGGGTTCGAAGCCAGTCTGAGCCGAGAACTGATAAAGAAAGTTTCTTTTAAGTTTGTCTGCTTGCCGTTTGTTAACGAGCCATGAAGGGGGGACAGAACAGATTGACTCCTGCCTGACAAGCCTTCATTTCCATAATTATGGAGCAGCTGATGGCTGAAAATAGACAAATGGCACAACAAATCGCAATGTTGTCGGATCAAATTACGCAGTTGCAGAGAGCTGCAAAACCCCCCAGCCAAGGAGGAAGTGCCCAGTAGCCATGCCAGATAAATATGATGGGAGTCTGGCTATGTTTGCCGCATTTCTGGGACAATGCCAGCTGTTCCTGAGTTTGAGAGCGGAGGACTTTCCCACTGACCAGATGAAGGTGGGATTCATTATCAGTTTGCTCTCAGGCACAGCTGCCCGGTGGGCCACACCCTTGCTCAGTCAGTCTAGCCCCTTGTTGGATGACTTCCAAGGTTTCTGTCAACATTTTCAGTTGATGTTTGAGGATCCCATCAAGGGGGAAACAGCAACTAGGCGACTGAAGGCATTAAGGCAGGGTCGTGGATCTTTGCAGGAGCACGTAAGCGAATTCCGGCTGCTGAGTCAGGACTCAGCATGGAATGAACCAGCGCTTATGGACACCTTCCAGGATAGATTGTCTGAGTCCTTACAAGATGAACTGGTGAGGGTGGACAGGCCACCGATGTTCGACGCGTTGGTCCACCTGTGCCTTCGGATAGATGCCCGGCTGCAGAGGCGAAGGCCTCGCCGTGCATTCCAGGAGACCACCAGCATGCCGGTTCAGCAAGGGACTGCAGTGGACTGGGAGGAGCCCATGGAGTTGGGTGCTGTCAGACCTCGAGTGTCATGGACAGAGATGGACAGACGACGTACTGAGGGATTGTGCTTCTACTGTGGGGATCTTGGGCACCTGGCAGGGAGCTTCCCCAAGAAGACCAGAAGGTTTGTGCGGACTGCAGCCGTCCCTCAGCAACGCACTATCAGGTCGGACAACCAGCACATTGGTGCGGCCGTGATACCCCGTTCGCACAAGATAGCGTGCGTTCGGGGGTGTGTGGAGTCCCAGGGCGGAGGCCCTGCCGAGTAAAGTAGAGAACTCTGACCCTGCGAACTCGCTTCCACTTTGGACTGTTCCACCCGTTGCAGCCTGCGCTGCCATTTGTCATCCCGTGAGCATACAGTGTCTGATACGAGATGCACAGCGGGATGACGACTGGGTGGAGTGACAAAAGGCAGAAGTGGGGCCAGCATCCCCATGGACTTTGGAAGGGGATCTTTTGAAGTGTCAGGGCTGGCTCTATGTTCCCGCAGGGCACATCCATCGATGGGTGCTCGCGCAGATTCATTGCGCCTCTGCATCAAGACATTGGGAGTTTGTTTGGACGTTGCGCCTGGCCTCCCGTCAATTTTGGTGGCCCCATCTGAAAAATGATGTACGGAGGTTTGTGAAGTCATGTGCCCAGTGTCATTGGGCCAGGTCTACAAGGAGAACTCCGCCAAGATTCCAGCCTTTGTCGACTCCGGTCCCTGCAACACTGGACTTTGTCTCTAGGTTCCCAGTGGGGTATCTGTGTCTTGGACCGTGTTCTGGGGAGGCCATCACTAACCCTTCTGGGCTGCACCCTGATCATCGAAACTGGGGGAAGGGCTCTGCGGGAGGCGATTGCGTGGTGGCTTGGCAGGAGTCGGTAGAGCTGCTGTCAACCCCCGATGGAAGGGGGGTTGGTGGGTCGGTCTTGCAGAGGGTGGAGGACCCTGGATAGGGTGTTAAGGCTCGGCCGAAGCTGGTAGAGGTGCCATCAACCTCCGACGGTAGGGGTGCTGGTGGGTCGGCCTTGCGGAAGGTGGATGACCCTGGACGGGGTGTCGACGCCGTGAAGGGCAGAAGGAAACATGGTGGCCACCGCATACCTAAGGAGTTCCAATTCAAGGGGGCTATGCCTCCAGAGGTTTGGGATTCATGAAAAAGGCACCAAGGGAAATGGGTGCAGGTCATCTTGGGGACATGTCATTCCGACCGCATCCCGACCATCGGAACCCGGGGAAAGGGCCCTGCGGTGGGGAATAGTGTTGTGACTCAGCAGCAGTCTTCTGTGAGTCTTTTCGGAATTCAAGATTAACGATGCAGCTGTGGCTCTTTAGTGGGGGTTTGGAGATAAAAGGACGGATGCTGCCAGGCCCTGGTTGCAGGAGTCAACGTTCTTTCGTGCATTCCTTGGTTCGTATAACATTGCTTGATCATCAGTCGTGGTTTATGTAAGATACACTTGGATAAGTGCTTTGTGTTTCCTGTAACCCTGATTCAAGGCTACACTTGGAGAAGTGCATTTCTTGTAAGAGTTGTTTTGTTTTTCATTCCGTTATCTGGTCAGAGACTGTATTTATGTTATTTTTGGGTTCGAAGCCAGTCTGAGCCGAGAACTGATAAAGAAAGTTTCTTTTAAGTTTGTCTGCTTGCCGTTTGTTAACAAGCCGTGAAGGGCGGACAGAACAGGACAGGATGTTGCAGGTTACTCAAATTCAAAGATTTGGCTTAAGCAGAACCTGCCGTGATTAAAAACATTTGGTACAAGATTCTTGATAACTTTTCTAAGTACTTAGAAGTAAGTACTTGGTCTTATAAAATAATTACTGATGTTTTTTAGATACGAGGAGGCTGTGATTTAAATAGCTGAACTCTTTATTAACAGAAGTGACACGAACAGTCAGTTCAGAACACACACGCTGGACAGCGCCGCCTGACAGTTATTTACACGAATAGCTGTCAGGCGGGCGGCCAATGGGAAGACCGCAATTCTCCCGCTGGCCGGCAGCCGCGCCAGGACCAATCAGCTTCCAGCAAGGCGTGGCTTGGCTGCCGGCTGCATCAGGAGGACACAACAATGTTCACAGGGCGAACAGTTAAATGTTAAATTAAAATATTCTAGTCTCTTTTTAATTCTGAACATTTTTATTTTCCTTGCTTTTATAGATGCAAAGGACCTGGACCCGAAGGCTGCCCTAATGGGTAATTATTGATAACTAATGTAAAGTCAGATGTCCATTTATAGCTGCATCCAATTAAGCCAAGAATATTGTGGCAAAACAAAGCAGATTTTAATAAAATGGATTTTTATACACAAAGAATGTCTCTTTAGTTGTAGCTTTAGAAAGGATACCCAGATCCACTATTAGTTTATAGCAGTTTACACAGTTTTTAATATCAATGGTCAATAAGGAAAAGGTAATGCATTCATTGTACTCCAATCGTAGCATGTAAATATTAGCCAATAGGAAAGAGGTCATTAATCCAATCATATTTTTAAAAATCAGTTAATGGATAGAAACTTTCCACCATGCTAGAGTTGCTTCTTAGGTCCTAAGCACATAATCATATCTTTATTTTGTACAACATTCATTTTCCTAAAATCTAATTTTCTAATTATAGAAAATTCCACAATAGTACATTAAGTGAGCATATTTTTGTTTCTCTTCATAGAAATATAAGTATCTATAGTTATATTTATAGGGTATTACCTATCTTAATAACTGTATTGATAGATACAGATGATATAACTTTATTTTTATGTTTGGCAAATATTATGAGGATGCATATCCAATTATAGTTAATGGTCATAATTTTACAGAAATGACATCGAACTTCACAAATCATACATGTTCTTCATTCAGTAGTCTAGACCAGGAAACTAAAAACAAGAATATTATTACTATCTTTATTGTTTATGGTTACAACAACAAAATCTTGCAAATCTGAGAGTACTTCCTCTTCTCTGTACCATTATCTTCCAGAAAGCTAAGGAGGGTCAATTCTGAAGTGCTTTCTCCTCCCAGTCCTGCTTTGACTCAGATTTCTCTTATCAGACTTTTGTCTAGACTACAAGCCTTCTTCCTATTCCTCAAGGTTATTCTCACAGTCCATTAAACTTCACTGCTTCGGACTGCATTGGGCAAAACCACTGCCTGAATGTTTTGTTATAGCAAGTTATATTTTATTCCCTTTCCTTTTTAAAAAATGCTCTAAATGCTCACATATGATGAACTAGATTTATCAATAACATAGAAGCAATAATAACTGTTTCTATTTTGTAGATCTAAAATCCCATCCATTGCAGCCGGAGTTGTTGGGAGCATTCTTTGCTTAGTTGTTATAACCCTGGGTGTTGGTCTTTTTGTGCGTAGACGTCGGATTGTTAGAAAACGTACTTTGCGCAGACTGCTGCAAGAAAGAGAGGTAAATATAACTAATGATTCAGAAGAGAACTAACTAGTATGGATTCATAATACATTAGCATCTCAGAGACTTTCTAAGTTGTCTGTTATTCCATATTTGTTTCAATAGGAATCATGAGCTTTCTGTATGGGATGAAACCGCATTCTTTTAGCTCTTGTAAAAGAATATAGTATTTCTAAATATTTGTATGTTTCTAATAGTATTAGAGCTATTATAATATAAATGTTCATGAGGATATTTCAAATCAGCAGTGATTTGCTAAATAATTTGTTATGGATTTATAATAATATAGCACAAATAGGTTTGAATCATTTGTTTTACATTTTTCAAAAACCACCCTTCCTTGTAGACTATTATGGTTGGAAAGAAATTGACTCTTCTTAAGCTATGCCCTTTTTGATTCAATAGCTTGTTGAACCTTTGACACCAAGTGGGGAAGCACCAAATCAAGCACTTCTAAGAATCTTAAAAGAAACAGAATTTAAAAAAGTAAAAGTCCTTGGCTCTGGAGCTTTTGGTACTGTCTATCAGGTAAACTATCATCTTTTCTAAATATATATGTACCATATATTTTGCACTATAAGATGCTCCAGACTATAAGACACACCTAGCTTTTGGGGAGGAAAACAACAAAAAATGTGTCCCATTTTTGGCCTCCGTGCATCCCATTTTGGCCCATTCTAGGCAGCATGGATCGCCACTACCGTTCGATAGGACACAAAACGGGACATGCAAAGGCTGAAAACGGGGCACACGGAGGCAGCAATAGGTGACGTTGGCTGGCAGCAATTCCCACAGCCTGAAACAACTGATTGACAGTATTCTGGGAGGCCGATCCAGCTGCCAATCACCTGCTCATGCTAAATCAGATTGTGCTGAAGCTCACCAGGCTGTTTGCTGTTTGCTGCAAGGAGGCAAATTGCTGCGAGGCAGAGGCCAAAGGGTGGGGGCCCAAGGGTGCACAGGGCTTCGGCAACATTCATTCTATAAAATGCACAGACATTTCCACCCACTTTTGGGTGGGGAGTGTGTCTTATAGACTGAAAAATATGGTATTTGCATCTTTATATAAGTGAAAAATCAGTTCTGTATAAACTTCTTTGGAATTAAGTCCCATTGACAATCCATAGTAAATTTACATAAAATCATGATGTTGCATACCCAAATTATCACACATTTTCAAATATATGTACATTTATATTTACTATCTTGCTCAAATACCATTTATATATATGTAATTTATATGGATGTATTAAAGTTTGTTCATAATCTGTTTTACTTGCTAATTGTCTTAATTTATGTTACATTTACTCATTTTGATTTTTTTAAATAGGGTCTCTGGATTCCAGAAGGAGAAAAAGTTAAAATTCCTGTAGCCATTAAGGAATTAAGAGAAGCTACATCACCAAAAGCTAACAAAGAAATTCTTGATGTGAGCTTTATGTTTTTTGAAGATTTAAAATATCAGCTGTAGAGACTTTATAGCATGTAGATAAATATTAAGACAGTGTTGACAGTATTTATGTCATTGTAGAATTTCTTGCAACTGATTTTTATCCTCAATGGGGCTAGGCAGAAAGACTATGTTTGGACTTCTTCAAATGACTATAGGAAGTCCTTAATATATGCCTATAATTGAGTGTGAAGTTACAGTCATAAGTCATATGTGATATGACTAGAACTAATTTTTGACATATTTTTTGCATCAGCCATTTGCAAACAGGATAGTCATTAAATGAATTAATTTTCCCCAATGGATATTTTTTTAATGGAAACAGAAGTAAACACTAAAAAAAATATATTGTAATTGTGCTCATAAGACCATGGGATACTGCAAATGGCTATAAAAATATGCCTGTTGTTAAATGCCCAAAAGTGACCCACTGCAGCTATTGTAACTTTGAATGGCAATAAGTAGATTTGGGAGGATAGTCTGTTATAACTTCAAATAGTTGTTCAGTAGCTGCTCTAAGTTGAGGACTACTATATTTAATGTATTTAGTGTTCCACTCGGTAAATTTTTAACAAATTTTATGTAGATGAATTTAAATTTATTTTAAAAAAGCACATTTAGGTGGGCTTAGAAAAGATTAGTTTGTTTCAAGTAATTACTTTGTGTTGCATAAGAAATGCTGTACTTCCTTTATTTTATCTACATAATCATAAAATGTTACTAATATGAACATACCACATATGTAGACAAATGTCCCTTTTCAGAAAGTAAGAGAACAGTTTAACAACAAAAACTTCCGTCTATTTTTTAAAAAACACTTTAAAAGTGTATGGTGACACAATGGCTTCACCATTCTTTCTTGAATGAAGTTGATAGCTGTTTGTTTTTATACTATCAAATTTAATAGGCACTGTCAAATACTGAAACAGTTCCACATTCTGATGGCTGATAAGTGGCACAGTCCATGGAGAACAAATTCCTAGTTTGGCAGAATTCAAGTTAATGTTTATAAGTTTTGGAACTTTTAGTCAATTCATAGAAATAGGTTAAAAAACCATTATAAAATAATTAATGAAATAAGAATCTATAAAAGAAGAAGCAAAGAAGCATGTGTTTATGATACTACATTTATTACAGCGGAATTAAAAATATGCAGACTAAGAAAGAACTGTTTAAAAGATCTTTGAAGAAACATTTATAGTATACACTATGTATGATCCAGACATATAATACCTTCCACTTTTTAAATATTCTGGATCCTCTCATTGAAATTGCCCACTCTTTCCTATATGAACTAAATGCTATTTGAGAAATGAAGCATTTTGCCTTCTTTCTTTGATTTGGGCCATATTCTGATTTAGCAGCCTCATGCTACAGAGACATTTGTGGTACATGCAATGGTTGCTAAGGAGCCATTGCTGAAAATGGATTTTTGTGGTTTTGTGGATCAGATGTAATATATAGACATATGCAGATCCATCATTCTCCAAATCAGAAAGTTTTCTATAATTGCAGAGAAAATGTAATGAGGGAACTTTACATCTGTTGTTTCCATGGGTAAACCTTAGATTCAGTTTACTCTACTTCTGTAACCGTTTAAGCTTCAGTAAAATATACTTTTGGCGAGACAAATGATGAGAAATCTTTCTTTGCTGGATGACTGAGACTGATGACAGAAAAGCACAATTACATGATAATGAGTGATTCAATATATTATGACTAAGATATTATTTGAATGGGTTTTCTGAGAAATGAAATTTTCTGAGCTGATGAAATCAAAAGAAAAAAATTGAGGTGTCCTTAGTTTAGGTAGTTGGCCTCAAGGAAGCAGGTGTAACTGAACAAACAAGCTTCTTCCCTTTTTATCGAATTTAAAGCCAGTGACCTTTGCAGTGATACTTTTGAGAAGAGGTGAAATTTGATTTATTGGGACTAATTTTTGTTATGGTTTCTCTTAACATGGTCTTCATTAGATAATGACAATTGCCATAATGTAAAATTTCCTTACAGTAAATATGAACATATATTTTCTCTTTGCTCATCTATGACCGTTTTGGTTGATTTCATATGTATTTTCTGTTTTCCTTTCCATTCTCCTTTTTTATTTCTACAATGCCTATTAAGATCTTTATAATCCAATTTACAGGTTTGGAAAATGTAGTGGCAAATTACTTTGTTATGTTTTAAGAGGTGTACGTTTGTTTATTAATTCTCAGGAATCTTAGCAGATTGCTGTAGTGAATGGATAGAAAAGCATCAATATATGTGTTTGAGCCATTAATTTTAAAAATTACATTATTATTTAAATAAATTGATTAAATTGTTATAACAGATAATCATTTTTTGTTTTATTTTTATTGAACCTTATAACAATTAAGCTACTTTATTTAGCCTGAGATGGTAATTTGCATCTTAGAATTATACATAGTTGGAAGTTGTTGTTTGGATATGTGGATATCCTGTGCCTATTTAGATCATGTGCATTAATAAAGAGAAAAAAAATACTGACTTCTATCTACCAGACTTCTATACTGATGCAATCATCTTTTTAAATGAGACAAAAAATTAAAATATAATTTTCTATGTTAAAATGTAACAGGTGTGAATTCTAGCCTTCAGAGTAATTCTCATTCGACATAGAATTTAGCATGATTCAGATTAATTCTGTCAATTAATTAATTAATTGTAGTAATTTATAAATAAATAAATAAATTTTATTTCTCAATTTTTTTTGCTGCCCATCTCATAGTTCAGGTGACTCTGAATGACTTGCATCAACATAAAACCAACACTCAATTATCATAAATAAGTATTTTAGGAGGAAAAGTGGGGTGCCTTCTCTGTTAGTGCACCAAGGACCTCCATCCAGCAGTTTTTCCTTTAGGACACCATGCCAAACAGAATAGCCAGGTTTTAAGGCTTTTCCTGAAATCTAAAAGGGAGGAGGCAGATCTTACCTTCTGAGACAAGATAATTTATACTAAAATTGTAATTTCTTACAGAGTAGGTAATTTTTATTCCCCCCGTCTCTTTTGATTAGGAAGCATATGTGATGGCAAGTGTTGACAATCCCCATGTATGCCGTTTGCTGGGAATTTGCCTCACATCAACTGTCCAACTCATCACCCAGCTTATGCCCTATGGCTGCCTTCTTGACTACGTTAGAGAACACAAAGATAACATTGGATCCCAGTACCTTCTCAACTGGTGTGTGCAGATTGCAAAGGTATATTAACAACAAACTCCATCTAGTTGTCCAAAAATGTTTAAAACATTGACCTAAATTTAGATTTGTCGCTCTGATACAGCTAATGCCTACAGCATTTCTTGGTTTTTAGTTTCCACATGCTATATTAAAAGTTCCCTTGTAATCTTGGATGTGTTTTAAAATGTCGACTAACAATCAATTATTTAATATCCATTGAAAATTACAACAGATTCAGACCCATAAAGCACCTCCAGCCATGGTAAAATGTCACACTTTTCTCCTTTGCAATAAAATGATCACAGTTTGGGTATTCGCAGTCTGTTCACACTTATAACCAGTTGCAAAAAGCTCAGCAGCCATTTGATCATGACTTGCAATCTTCTCTTTCAGTCAATGGAAAAATCAGCAGAGAAGATTGCAAGCTGTTGTGCCTGCTGAGAAGATTCCCGCTTGTCTCATACCAAGGGGAGCTGAATTTCTTTGGTAGAATGAAGAAATGGAATTCAGATCACAAAGATCCGAGCTCTGTTTCTGAAACTCATCAGAGAAGTTCTCTTAACATGCAGAAGGAAGCTGAAATCTTCTAGCAGGAGCAGACTCCTAGAGCCCTGGAATATCCCTGCTCCATTCCTGTAGTCTGTTGGACCAGTCCTTTTCTGCGAATGGAAGGAAAATGAATTTCACAAGCATTTGCTTCAGCAAGCTGCAGAAATGTATCTGAGATCTGATACATTCCTATAACTTGCTAGAATAATTTTTTTCTCTACACTGTGGGGAACTGAGCTTTACAAGCAGCTCTTTTGCTCAATTTCCAACCCAGGAAATTGCTTAACAATCACAACCAGGAGTGCCAGAATGTTTTTAATTAATACATATTAATATAATCTTGCTCTGCACATTCACTAATTTTTCAATACTGCTGAAAAAGCAACAGCTTTATTGTGACTACTCAATAAGCACAACATTCATTTACTTAATATTTTATGTAATGTGGCTAAAGATGTTATGTGGTACAATAAGGTGCTTTAACTGTTAACATATTTAGGGAATGAATTACTTAGAGGAACGTCGTTTGGTACACCGTGATTTGGCTGCCCGAAATGTCCTTGTTAAGACACCCCAGCATGTGAAGATTACAGACTTTGGATTGGCCAAATTACTTGGTGCAGAAGAAAAGGAGTACCATGCTGAAGGAGGCAAAGTAAGAGCATCAATTTGTTTCTTCCTTCTGGTTTTATTTATACAATGTTGAGTTTTCAAATACTCAAGTTCAGTTTTCAGTCACTTTGGAGAGTGGTGGAAACTATATTGACAAATAAATTTTATATATAGTCTGATTCTAGGCAGCTTTCAACAAATAAAAACTACTAACAACATAAAGGTGAGATTCAAATAAATTTATAATATAGATGACAGCCAAGGAGCCAAACCAACTAATTGGCATGGACCCTAACAAGTTGATCCCAAAGCCAGGAAAATATCCATGTCTTGAGGACCTTCCAAAAGTCAGTAAGATTGAGGCCAATCTAATCTCCAGGGGAAAGTCATGTTCCAAAGGCAGACACAGCAACAGAAAAGCCCTGCTTCCTGAGTCACACAAGATTTTTTTTTACTGACTTCTTGATCTAGTGGGACGAGGCGGCCATCCCACAAATTCCTGTGCCATGAACAGCTTTATAGATGACAACCAGTACCTCCAAAATTGTACCCAGAAGCACACTAGAAGTCATTGTACCACACTGAATAGAGATGTAACATGAGTACAGCAAGTTACATGTTGAATGCTGAGAAAGACATTACGTCTTCCTGAAAAAAAGACAAAAACCATACTGGAATTTTAAATTGAGAAATATGCCATCATCTGTGACTATCTCCACAAAAAAAGTTTTACAATTCTCAATTGTAGAACTATTTATTTATAAATAATTCATGGCTGTCATTCAACTCACACGTAGGTGACAGCAGATGATTTACAATATTAAAAATTCACAACATAAAAAGCCCATTCCATCCCCTACATTTAGTAAAAATACATATGAGCATTTTTTCTGGCAATGCTTCTTTCAACTTCATATTCTGAGCAATAGTTCTAGGTTATATGTATCATACTTACGAATTGCTGGTTACCTGCAATGATATGTATAATATAACCAGGTGCGAGCATGAACACACTGTCATACTTTTTAAAATAATGAACTTCACTATTCTCATCTGCTTACTATGGTTCTGATATCTTCCTAGGTTCCAATTAAATGGATGGCTTTGGAGTCAATTTTGCATCGCATTTATACCCATCAGAGTGATGTCTGGAGTTTTGGTAAGTGTAAAAACATGCTGGGCTGATTCTAAATTGGTCACTGAACTAATTTGCAAGGTTTGCTCTATAATATTTATTCTTGTAGAGAAACAGGGATAATATTATGGAATTGCAACTCTCAAAAGAGCCCTTGATGCATAAAATTAATATAACGGATGGTTTTTTAATGGAAGCAAAATTTGGATCATTCTGTCAAACTTCTATTGTTCAGTATGTGTGGAAGGAGATTGTGGTTTGGTTTGGGGATTTTGGTTTGGTTTGGTTTGGGTTTTTTGCATGAAGAAGCATTTAGTTATGTGGGGTTTTTTTTGGATACTTCCCTTGATATCTGAAGAAGAACAAAGTATCACTGTGTTTGTCCAAACAAATTGGAGTAGGCAGTAAATAACATGCAAAGCAGAAAAAGCCATTGGGACTCTAAAATATGCCAGGAAAAGATGAAACAGTTAGTCAACAATTATGGTTTTGTTATATAACTCTCTAAGCAAAAGCACAAATAGTATAAAGTAGTAAGAAGAAACTATGGATCTACCCACGTATCAGGGTTGTGTTTCAGCCAGTATGGACTGGTACAGACATACCAGTTGGTGAATTTTAGTGTGCCTTAGCATGCCCATTCGTCCGGAGGCCCCGACAAGCCCACATGGCATGCGCTGCCCTCTTCTCTTTGATAGCTGCCTCATTTCCAATGAAGGTGGTGGGGAATCCATGCAGAGGGAGGAAATGGATTCCCCACCCCTTCACTGGAAATGAGGCAGCTGTCAGAGGAGAGAGCAGCGCACACCAATGGGCTTGTCCAACGAATCCTCGCCTCCTGTTCCTTCTTCGCCTGCTTGAAGAAGCCATGAGGGGCATGATTCCTTGTCTTTGACAGCCACCTCGTTTCCAATTGGGGGGGACGGAAACATCTGATTTCTCCCCCCCCCCCCAATTGGAAATGAAGTGGCTGTCAAAGACAAGGGAGCGCACCTCACATGGCTTCTTCAAACAGCAGAAGAAGGAACAGGAGGGGAGTTCCACGTGGGGATTTTCAAACAGCCAAACTCCCCTCCTGTTCCTTCTTCTGCTGTTCAAAGAAGCCATGTGGAATGCACTCCCTTGTCTTTGACAGTCGCCTCATTTCCAATTGGGGGGGGGGGATTCATGGAGAGGAAGGAAAAAGATGGATTTCTTTTTCCCCACTCCCAATTGGAAATGAGGCGACTGTCAAAGACAAGGGACTGTGCCCTGCATGACTTCTTCAAACAGCAGAAGGAACAGAGGGGAGTTCCACGTGGGGCTTTTCAAACAGCTGAGCTCCCCTCCTGTTCCTCAGGCAGGCCAGATCGGGAGCATGCGCCAGGCTGTTGCTCCTGCTGCCGCCACTCTCGGCACGACTCTCGTGAGGAGAAGAGAAAAAAATAATGAAAGGCTCTGCGACAGCAAGACCAGTCTGCCATGGAGTGACCCACCCCGCTCCCTGCCCAGCAGAGCTTTTTTTTCCCCTCAGTTCGGCTCTTGTTCATTCCTTCCTTCCCTCAATGTCCACCAAAGTGCTGCCCCGCTTGGCTGCCCTCGCTGCCGCTGTGCCCCCTCTGAGTGCCCAGCCGCCGGCCTGAGGGGGAGCAAGTTATGGTGGTACGGGGCAGCTGACAGCAGCGGTGGCTACTGCTCCTGTGCTGGCTGTGGGTCGTGCTGCTCAGTGGGCAGTGCCCCGACTCCCCCGCTGCTGCACCGCCTCAGCAGCAGCACCTCCCGCCCACGGAACTGAAAGAGAGCTTATGATCACAATTGAGCCCAAAATTTTGGTTGCTAAGCAAGAGCATTGTTAAGTGAGTTTCACCACATTTTCCAACTTGGTCACGCCCACCCATTCACATGACCGCCAAGCCACTCTCACCCTGTCACATGACACTGAGCCACTCCCATAAAACTGACCACACCTACAGAATAGATTCTAAAATTTTTGAAACCCACTACTGCCACATATCTTTATTTTTCAAAAGAAATATTATTGCAGGGGGTGCTTCTTCATATCATACTACATGTGTGTAGTAATTAAAATGTACTGGGATCCAGATTTAACTCTCAATCTAAATTATATTGCTCAATGAACTATTTCAGACCTATCGTTTGAAACTTAGATGGGAAGTTCAATGATCAAATAAATACAGGCTTGACAGCCTGAAGTTGTGTTGCTCAGTGAAGCAAGCTTTTCAATACTGTTTTCCCCCAAAGTTTCTGATTATTGAAAATCAAGGACTGTTGTTTCTTGCAGCCCATCATAATGCTAGTAATCATATCCAAATTCATAAAAAGCAGCTTATATCATTGAGAAAATTTAAGACAAAAAGTATTTTTGTCTAAGACAATAATTATTCTACCTAAATTTATCCAAAAAAAGAAGAATGTATTGGATACAGATATAAAGTGATGTTTAACGAAATTGAATTGTGTTGAAAGTCTTACTTTTGTGAAATGTGACATTAGAAAATAATTTCATTTTTTGTAAGAAAAGTATTCTTCTATGCTGTCGGAAAACAAACAAATGGTAATGAGCTCTAGTGTTTGAAATCATTAACAATTAACAATCTTCAATTCACTGAAACTTGTTCCTTGAGCAAATAATCAAGTGCTTTCTAGTTTACTGGATGAGCCTTTCAACTTTCTACATTTCAGGTGTCACTGTTTGGGAATTAATGACATTTGGATCTAAACCATATGATGGTATTCCAGCCAGTGAAATTTCCTCTGTCTTGGAGAAAGGAGAACGGTTGCCTCAGCCCCCCATATGTACAATTGATGTGTATATGATCATGGTCAAATGTAAGTCATTCCTATTTAACAGACCAAATTATTTTCACTTGTTTGCTTTAATAATAGAGTATTCTCTTTTCCAAATACATCTAACATTTGACTGCAATTTATTTATTGCAAGCTTTCTGGCATAATCCTGTCTTCTGCTTCTGTACAGGGTAATGTACAGTTTTAGGTGGATTAATCTTTCTCATATTCTTCCATATTCTCTATGTTTGATGCTATCGAACTAAAGGCTGATGCTTCTTATGTACCATTGGTTATTCATTCATAAAACACTTCCATTATTAAAGAACCTTTTCCCAAAAAATTAGCTTGAAAAGGGAAATAATTGATTATCCAGTTGCAAAGATATATGTGTAGCAATGCAAATTTGGATTAGGACTAGAGGACCCAAATGTAAATCCCTATCAAACTACAATGTTCATTGATTGCTTTCACATATGTTATTACTCAGCCCTACAAAATTAGAAATTACAATGATATAAAATTGTTTTGGAGGATCCAGCGGAAAAATAACTATAATTTTAAAAAATAATATTCAGGGTATATTAAGAGAACTAAGAAATCCGCTTCTATAGCAGGAAATTCAAGATTAGCCAAAGTATGAAAAATAATAGTAAACATCACTGTAACGTTTGTTTCTCTAGAAATCAGTAACTGAATTCTAAAAACAGAGAATGCATCCAAGAGACCTGTAAATTATTATCTCAGTTGGAAGGACACAGAAAAAGCAGTTCTTCAGGTACTGAGACCAAAGATAGGCTTGATAGATATAGAAAATCACTTTGAATTGGAAATAATCAGGAAGCCTTTTGAGATCCTTTAACACTAAAGAATACACTCATGCTATTCATCAGTGGATATGCAATATCAGCTACAACCAATCAAATATGTTCAATTCATCTAACTGAAATGTTCAAGCAGCAAAATGCAAAAGTTGTATTTTTCTGAAAGGGTATAAGAAAAATCCCACACTCTTTTTACTTGCAAATGTATTAGATATCCAAATTGTTATCAAATGTTTTGCAACTCAAGAGACTTCTTGACAGAGGGGTTTGTTTGTTTTTTTGGCATCATTTCAAATTTGACTTAAATTGGTGACTTTGATACTAGCATTTTAATTTTGATTTATTAAATTATTATAAAGCAGAAATATTTATTTTCAGAAGTGATTGTTCCAGAACAGCCTTTATATAGGTCTATAGATAGATAGGAGATGTCAGGTTGCCATTTAAATATGAATTTAATGCTATAATATTTACACAAGGAAGGAAGAAGGTGTTTTAGTAGGGTTCTAACTAGCTGTGATAATTCTTTCTAGACAATAAAAAATATTTACAAATAGCCCACAAGGTGGCATAAAAACACTTCATTCTGAATTTTGGACAATTTAGTCTGTTGATATATTCAAAGCTCAACCAACAGATACATTTTGGAAATTCAAATGAAGATTAATTATTAGTTCTTTGTAAAACTTTAGCCTAAAAAAAGATATTAATACAGATATTAAACTATTAAAGCTTTTGGGTAAAAAGGATGTATGCTGTTTAAGCATTTTATTAGATTTTAGAATAATACAAAATACAAAAAGCAAATAGGAAGACACAGTGGGGGAAGAAGGGGAAAAAGAAGTGAGGGGGGAAACAGAGGGGGAGGAAAAAAAGTGTTGACTTCCGTCTCACTCTGTTGCAGTAAAATACATAAAGAATTAACATCAAACCACAACATTTTACTATTCCATAATAATATAAACTAGCCATTTCTATAAAATCAAATCAATTTAATCAGTAAAATGCAAAATAAAAGTTTTATTTTTCCCTCCAATCCAGAAGCAGTCTCTATGTGGCAACAAAAGTACTTATTGTATTTTTCAGAGTATAAGATGCACCCTTTTTCCTCAAAAAAGAGGCTGAAATTCTTATACACTGAATGCAGCCTTTTTTGCCTCCTGAAACCCCCCCGCTTCACCAAAATGGTCGTGCATAGCCTGTAGGAGACTTGAAGAGTGCTCCTAGGGGCTGGGGAGGGCAGAAATGAGCAAAAAAACATTTTTTGCTCAATTTTGCCCCAGCCCCCAGAAATATTCTATAAGCCTTCTAAAGGCTTTGCATGCCCTTTTTTGACAAAAAATGGACCCATTTTTGTAAAAACCGGGCCGTTTTGGGGAGGTCTGTAGAGTGCAAAACCTCTTTTTTTAATTTGCCTCTTCAAAATCTTGGTGCGTCTTATATTCTGAAAAATATGGTATATTCTTTTCTTTAATCAAAATGGTCAATTTAGCCATTTCTGCCAACTCCATCTGCTTCTGTAACTATTTGTCTAAAGTGGGAATCAAGATGTCCTTCCATTTTTGTGCATACAGTAGTCTTGCTGCTGTCAACATGTATAAGATCAAACTTCCAAATTTTTTACCCAAATCTTTTTTCCATTACACCAAAAAGAAAAGTTTCTGGTTTCATATTTATCTTTGTTTTAAGAATTTTCTGTATTAAAATATGAATCTTACTCTAAAATTTCTTTGCTTTATCACATGCCACCATAAAGGATAAAAAGTCCCTTCTTTACTTTTACACATCCAACATTCATTTGAAATACTTTTATATTCTAAATAACTTATCAGCTGTTAAATACTAGAAAATATCCTCTTATAGAAATTTTCTTTTAAATTATATTTTAGTGTAAATTTTAAACCTTTTATCCACCTATTTTCCCATTGTTCAAGCATCACATTACATCTAAAATTCCTTGCTCATTGATTCATATAATGTTTTTCATGTTCACTTTCCAATTTCAATTTCAGTAACATTTTATAAATCATAGCAATAATAAGTTTGTCACTACCACACTGTAAGATTTCCAATTCATTTTAACTAAATCAAACACATAGCTCTTTTAATCTAATTCAAATATTTCTTTCTGTTGCTGATATGTAAACCAATGGGTACATAGGATTTATGAATGTTTATGATATGCTTGAAATCCATTGATGACATCAAAGCACAACGCTTCATTTATAGGTTACCTTTTTGTATTATTTTTTTAAAATGTATGGCATAGCAGCCTACATACTATATCAAATCATTGATGCTACAAGTTTTGTTTTATCTTGTTTTACTGACTTTTCAAGCTGTCATTTTGAAAGTCTCTAAAATCCTTAAATAGTTATTCAGGTAATTTCCAAAAGTGATTAGAAAGTGAGCTTAATGTCATTTAAAAGGCTCTGCCATGCTTGAGAGCACTATGGTTCCTTTTGTCTCCCAGCATTCAAATCATGGGAAAGAACTGTCCTGCAGTCTTGTTTTAGGAGTAGCCATCTAGAGCACAAATGGGCACTCTCCTGTCCTTTCCTTATCCAGGGAACTTCCCTGGGTTTATATTCTCTGGTTCTTCAGTCTTTGCTGTGGTCATAGTCTCTGCTCATTCCAAGACATCTTAGTCTATCATTGCTCTCCTGGAGGAATATATAGCCACAGCTTACAAAATCTAAGGAAACAATAAAAACAATTAACATAGAAAATAATGTTGCAACCCAGGGATCAGTGCCGGATTTAGATGAAAAGAGGCCCTAGGCTATTCCACTTATGAGGCCCTTTCACCT